TCAAAGAATGTCCATTAATCGTACTCCGATCACTGAAAGTAGAAGAACAGTTCCTATAACAAACCATAAAACAACATCTGTCTCACGAAAAGTTTTGACTCTTCCCAGCACTTATAATTACCATATAAAGGCGGTAGTACAACTCTCGATGTCAGGCTCAACAGCTAAATTTCAGATCTTATTGTCCGACGATATACACGAGATGAATGCATATCATAATATTACAACTCAAACTGAAATGGTAAGTATTTTTCATAGTAATCAGCAGGTTTGACCGAAAACGTGTTGCAAATGCTAATATTTAGTTTCATTGAGAATGTTTGATGTCTCGTTGAGCGTTTTCTCTAAGCAACTGTCATGCGCAGTCTCACCCAGATAATTACGTCATTCAATATCTTGCAATTACATCTGATTCATCGTCAATACCATTAGAATCCACATTGGTAATGACGTAGCCGCAAAGCAGTCGTTATATCCGTAGATAAATTATTCGGAACGTTATCTTTTCTTTTTGTGTCGTGAGAAATGGAATCAGTACCAAAATAGGAGTCTACAATCTTACAGTTATATTTTTGTTGCTAGAATATTTGTTTGATATCATATTCGATATAGCAATATCGACGGGACGGCACAATTTGATTGAATACTAATGTGATTTAATACACAAAAAATAGATTATCGATATTAAATTGCGTAGATTACACATAATTCAATCAGATTAGTAATGCTGTGTTTCGGGAAAGTCTATAGAGTCAAATCTACGCGATGTACGTTATTCACAGCCGTGATGTGTGTTTCATGCGTTGTAGGGCAGTACAGAGAAACTACCCATTGAAGAAGATGATGACACGAGTGTTTCCGAGAAAGCGTCTGAAATCATGCAAATTGGTGAGTAATATACGGCAATGTATCTAATACTGATGCGGTATATATACAATATGCACATGTACTACATATTAATAGGAAATAAAATCATATATTATACCAAACGTACTTTTGCTGAACGAAACAAAATACAAAAAAAAAATAATATCAAAATTCGTCAGAATGTCCGCATTTGTGTGTCTCCATTATATTATGCGTGAAAAATACTAAGCTAAGTGGTACGTTTTGTAACTGAATTTGGTTTGCGGTGTGTAGTGGAGGAGGGACCTACCATCCAAACTAAAAATATTGAGTACAGAGAACAGGGAATTGAGTCCCAAGCGACGATAACAACACACGCTAAAAACGCAAAGGCTCATGGTGACACGCTATGGCCATCTGACGCATGCGCAGGTGACGACTCCCCCGCTTTAACGTTCGATTTTTTTTTCCATTTTGACAAGAAACAACCGAACTAGAATCTCCTACCATAATTTTAAAATGTCATACGTGTATGTAGTACCGCAATGAGCAGTTCGGCGTGCATGGCAAGACACTAACTCGCTCCAGCTGAGTTGAAACGAAAAAAAAAAAATTGTTCTGTGATTGGTTAGACCATAGACCTTATTTCCTAAGG